CCCATCAAACATTTGTAGTAGAGGTAGTGGCAATTGGTAACTCTAAAAAATAGAAGATAAAAAAATTAACCCTTTATCATTAATATATAGGAAAGGAAAAATAAATGAAATGATAAGAGGTATAGAAATTACTATCTTGTATTTTCTCAACATCTTGCAAATTTTCTTTAATAATAATTGGCGTCGATGATTTTTAATCCGAGTCTTGAGCATATATAAGAGATTCCACTAAGCTAGGAGTTAAAAAACTACTAAAGTAGTTAAGAACTCTTCCTTTGGTGCTAAATATCAATTTTGAGGAGATTGTAGAAACGAAATCACCAATACATCCCTAGCCATTTATGAAAGATGAAAAACCGAGGAGAACTGGTTTTCCACCACTCTAAAATATTAAAATCAGCATTATTATTTTTAGCACTTTCATCAAGATATTTGTCCAACTCCGTTTTATTTCCTCCACCTCCAATATCATATTTGTATTTTTTCAAAACGCATCATTATCTCTATTTTACTTTATTTTCTTCTTCATCAATCATTTCTTCATTTCCACAATCCACATCTATTCCCCGACTCCCACTACCTTGGCCAATTTCATCTTGAGATGATGAACGATAATAGAAATTATACGTGGCATTTATAGATCTCTTCATAATATTTGACATATTTTGACTCTCTAAATCACCATACAATTCCTTGATTGAAAATTCAATAAATATAAGTTTATGCCTATGATCAAGTATTATCGCAATATAAATCAACTTGTTCATTTTCTTAATATTCCCTCAATATTTCTTAAACTTTTCTTTCATTTTATTATCTAATGCAAAATCATCCAAATCTTCACTTCGTTGCCATTTTTTCTAAATCTATTCGAGCACATAAATCTCTTTAAAAAAAAAATATTTGAAGTCACATACAAAGAACCCGAAATACGTAAAGTACGATTGTAAAGAATTTTAAACATGCCCACCATCTTCCTACAAGTCTTCCAATCATCAACATTAAGTGGCCTACCAACATTATCACCAAGATTTACATCAAATTCACTCCTATATAAAGTATCAATTTGCTCATATCTCTTAAAAGCTTTCTTAAACTTTAGAACCGACTCAAACATCAAATATGTTAAATTTTCACCTAGTTGTCACATCTAGTTGTAATAAACTTTTATAATCAATTTTCTCAAGTTGAATTCATTCCTTAAATCTTCTCAACCTAGCTAGAGATTGCCTCATAAACCTAACGATCGATCAAATACGAACGACCGAAGGATTAAAATGTCTTAACCCATCAATAACAACTAGATTCAAAGCCATACACCTCATATGAATGAATTCTCTATCTAAGATGCTATAATCCCAATTCCTAATCACATCTTTTAAGCGCCTAATTGCCATACCATTCAAACTTGCATTATCAACCGTAACACTAAAAACCTTCTCAATTTCCAAATCAATCAAGCATTTCTCAATGGTAATACCTAAATCTACTCTTTTATGAGTATCAATCGGATAAAAATTCAAGATCTTTTTATACAACTTTCAATCATTATCAATAAAATGAGCCGTTAAACACATGTAATTGATTTTTTGTATAGATGTCCATATGTTCATAGTGAGGCTAATTCTTTGACTATTTTGTTTTAAAAATTGCTTTAACTTTATTTTCTCATCTAAATAAAGTTGATAGAAATCTCTTAAAATCATAAAACGAGATGGAAGTTTAAATATAGGTTGCAAATTAGATAAAAAATTGAATCCCTCGCCCTCTATATGCTTAGATGGAAGTTCATATAGAATGATCATTTCGGATAAATCTTTTCTACTAACATTTTGATCAAACTTCCATACGCTAAGACTATTTTCTTTTGCTCCAAGCCTTCTAAGGTCTAATTGAGTTTGTGTAGAGCCAATACAACTAAAAGGGTTTTTTTTTTCTTTCTTGCAAGTCAAAAAATGAGACCTAAGTGAGATTATCCTATTTTTTAAAGGATTACAAGCAAATACCTTACCACAATAGTTGTATTTAGCCTTTATGCCTTTATTATCATCTTCAAACTTTATGAAATGGTCCCACACCATCGATCTTGGCTTAATTGATTTTCTCTTCTTTCCTTTACCATCTTCTTGAGTGTTACTTACGAGTTGGACCTACACTTGATTATATATTAGGATTGCTTGAACTCACATGTTCATAATTCATCTTTTCGGAATGAGATTGCGATATCTACATAAACAATAAAGGAAAAAAAGGTATTAAGCTTCACACTCTTAAATAATTAAAAAAAACATAATAAATATACATAAGTTGCCAAGTTAGTAGTATAATATGGAATGGAACTTCATGTTTGGATCCGGATGATCCTTAAATAAGTTAAATAATCATAGATCAAATATAAGCGATTGCTACTATATGCTACTCGTTGATGAAAGGTGTGTCCATACTGAATTATACAAAACAATGATGGCACAAAAGCCAATTTTAAAAGATGATTGGAGGGTTTTGTATTGTCATTCGAATATAGGATAGAAATGGGAATTTGTCATATACAAACCTGGATCAATTTAAAGTTCGGACACCCTTATGTGAAGACCGAAGAGTGGAGACAAGTAGTAAAGTTGGGTAGAATTGGGTGGGTAATAATAATCTACATCGGGTTAAAAACAAATAGAATAAATTAAAAGGAATACAACATCTAGCCATAGTAACTAAACCATATGCTAGAGCAAGAAAAGCTTGAGAACAAAATTCGCCGACTACTCTGCTTATATAGTTATATGTATGTGATTAAAAGAGAGAAAATGAAAAGATAAATGAAGAAAGATTGTTTAACAACAATGGATAGTTCTTTATGGACAAGAGTTTAGCTTAGTTTTACTTGCGTGATATCAAATTCTAAATGAATTATAAGTTTTGATGATTCTTTCAAGACTAGATGGAGATTAACAACAGCTTAAAGATTTTAATAATTATTAATTTTAGAATTAGATATGCAAATCAAGAACCAAGAAGAGCGAGAAAATAAATAGAGCATTCGAAGAAGAAATCAAGAAGAAGAGTAAATTCAATATTGATCTAGAATAGCTCTTTTACAATGAATTACTCTTGATTTATACGGTGTTTGTTTCTAACGAACTTTCCCTCGCAATCTAATAGCTATAGCCAACTCTTGCCACATTAGCTAACTAACTTAACTCCCTCCCTAAGATTCACATACTTACGTGCTCTTTCCTTTCAACCGATTCCATGCTTTCATTTGTTACCTTATTGATTGTTTTCAAGCTTCCCATTTTCTACCCTCTACATCGTTCCATCACTCGCCCTATTGATGTATGGATCTCACTCGTTAGGAAACAGTATCGTTGCTTTCAAATTTTGATTTCACTATGCAAACATCTACTTTTATTAACAATGAGGATATCACCATTTCTTCGGACAAATGCAAATTGCTGCTATGAAAAGCATGAATGATAGAATGAGATGTCCTTATGGATTTTTTATATTTGTGATGCTCATCTTTGATAGATCAAGCTAGTGTACACAGTCTATATACTTGTCTTTTTGCTCGTAATATTAATATTAATCATAATAAACATTTCATTTCATGTTAGTGCTTTAATTAAAAGAGAAGCTTGCTCATTTTTTGGTTATCAAGCATTCAAACAAGTGCAAGGATTTTAACTAAATTGAAAACTTTATATATTTTGCTTATAGGGGATAAAACAGAACATAAGCAAGTTGAAAGAATGGTCTAATGCAAGGATCGGTTCAATTATACTGATCATACATATGTGCAAATCATATAAAAAGCAAATCAGTTCAATTATATTGAATATTGATCATACATATGCTCTAATACAAGGATCAGTTTGGACAAAAGACGAGAAAAATGTCGAAACAAACAAAGAAGAAAGCGAGAAAATAGGACATGAACAAATCTTCGACCCAATTTGAAACCAAAACCCAGCTTGATAATCGGAACAATACAAATAAAGTGTAGAATCACATACTTCAACAACCAAAAAGGAAAATAGATGCCAACAGGACACATTTCAAGACAAGGCTTCCAAAACAACACTATAGTGCGGAACAAAGCATATTAGTTATCACGACTCACTAAGGAATCTAAAAAAAAACTTAATCTATGCCAAATACATTGTTGTTATTACTTATTAGTAAAATAATAATAAAAAAAGAAATAAAAGAGATTGACCTTGAAAGACACGAAGCTTGATGAAGGAAGACTGGAAAAGGATTAGAGCTTGGAGCCTAGAGAATGGAACTCCGGAAGAGGACTCGGACTCACCGGAGTGGAGAGTGAAGAACGAGGAGAAGAAGAGTGAGACTTTGAGAGTGCGAGAGTGAGACCGTGTCCGTGAGAGGTCGAGAGTGAGAGGCGTGAGATTGTGAGAGGCTTAGACTTGAGAGTGTGAGAGTGACCGAGTGAGACGAAAGACCGAAAGAGTTTGTTGGCTTATTGTGTGACTCGCGTCGAAAGGAAAGAGGCCGGTTAGGGTTAGATCTAAGGGATTTAAAAATTAGAATTAGGAATTAAAAAAAAAGGTTTTCGATTCAAATCATTTTTTTTTTAAATGAACCGAACATAACTTATTTTGGTTTTTTCGGTTTGATTATAAATTGTATATTTTTTAATTTATATCCAAATCAAATTTCATAATTCAATCCGAGTTTAATTCGATTTTTGATTAATTGAACCGTTTACTCACCCTTAGGAATTATAGGTTTTGCTCACCTTTTTTTATTCTTCTTGACAGTGGGCATTAAGTTAGGTGGTTCATCAACGACAATTGGCATGGCGACTCTTTTCCCTAGCTTTAATAGTTCTGTATGCAATATGATACATTAGCTTTAGTGGAATCGCTTAACTCTGATACACGATCAGTCTCCCATTCATTAATTGTAAGTAATGTGTGATTACCAACCTCCAGTGTTTCACTCCTAGACTGTGTCCTAGCCGTCATAACACTAGTAGTGACATTTTAAGCAATTGCCTTCCAGCTATTCAAAACTGGGTTTTGGCTGCTGGTTGTTTTAGAGGCCTTACTGAAGGACAGGGCCTTAGCTGAGGGGTGGGACTCGGGTTTCTCTAGTCTGGCATTGAGTGAGGGAAAGCGGGCCTGGCTGGGGTAAGTGAGGTTAGGCTTTGGGGTGGAGGTCTGACTATGTGTTGCTCTATCAGTCTCTGAATCTGGCTCAAGTAATGTTGTAAAACATGAGCTGTTACAAAAGTCAACTTTGGTAGCTGTTACTAATTCTAATTCACCAACATCTTCTTTATGTGATTTCTGTTTAGGAGCTATTTGTGTATGTAACCAAGGTCCATAAGACTCGACATTCGCATTCAATTGGACATTCACTCCTTTATTCAATGCATCTTCTCCGATGGTATGTCGTGAAATATTGTTATTCGTCGGATGTTTTATGGACAAAACAAGCTACTGTGACCTACTCTTCCACAAGCATAACACACATGCAGCTAGCCTTCATAGGTCTCCTTTGCTTCATGCCATCAATCTAAATAGAGCTCTTCACAGATGTGTCTAGATTGATATTAATGGTCACCTTTGCAAACTTGGGCCTTATGTTAGTTTGTGCATTATAATGGATCTTAATTGTGTTGCCAATCATGTTTCTCATTGTCCTTAGGATTTTAGGATGATACCAATCCAATGACAAATCCAAAAATCTAACTCATACTATTGAACATTTAATTTTACTTTTAGAGGCTCTGAGATTGTGATCTCATGGTTGGATATTCAAAAAATGCTCAATAATTGTCCAAAGACCTCCCACCAAAGCATGTAAATAATCTATATAGGTTAAGAACTAAAACCAAAAAATAATCATTCTCCATGTTCACTACTCTAAATGATCTAACAGCATTCCAAATCGTTTTTAATCTAATGCATAAAGATTTGTATCCCACACTTCAACTTAGAATCTTGACCACTACGAAAAGCTCTCATGGTTTCTTGAGGCGTTTCTTGAATGGCTCTGATAGCTTAATAGACCAACCATGGCCATTTTTTCTACGCGTATGTCCCATCATCAACTTCAATACTCAAAAGAGATTGTAATTCAAAAATTGGTGGTGGCTCCGCCTCCTTCCCATCTGTCACTATTTTTTTGAAATTCAATCTATCTTTCGGAGATGACAAATCAGTAGGAGGTTCTTGGCTTGGTCCTTCGTTTTTTAGCATGGCCTTCTTGGTGCTTCAATATGATTTCAAGTAATCAGGTTTTTCAAACTCTCTAATGGGGAAAGAATTTTAGGGGCTAGTATAGAGCATTCTTGTGCTGCTATTGCTTTAACTATTCAAATGTATCCTTTGAAAATAATAAATTATAACGAAACCATTTTTTTTTATATAGATAATACTCACTAAATTAAAGCATAATATTATGAGCTAGTAATATGTATTAAATTGAAATTATTTTATAAACGGTTCATTTGTATTTTTAAATCAAACAAAAATCTAGTTAGTGATTAGAAAACTATAATTTAAAATAATAATTAATATGCTAATGTTTTGACTTGCTTTCTTATTTACTAGAATCAATAAATAATTTTTTTGAAAAAAAAAATCAATAACTCAATAGGTTGTGTGAAATATACTACAACAATAAATATCTTAGAATTTATAATTTTTTTAAAAAATATTATATGTGTGTATTTATACGGTTATAATATCAATATGAATCAATTTAATTTTACCTCCTTAACTCGTTTTTTTTTCCTCCTAACATTGAGGATATGATACATCATCTAACTAAACCACGAGTTATGGATTCTAATGAATACACAAACATCCTAAATTCCAAAAACTAGAAGTAAAATAAGATAATTAATGATAAGAAAAAAAGAAAAGAAAAAGTCATTGTAAATTAAAATATTTTGAAAAATTGAATCCCATCTAGACTAATATATAAACTCGAAATAAAAAAATAAAAAAAAATTGAATTTTTAAAGTTTTGAATTTTTTGTTTCAATTTTTGACTACCAATTTTGTTTATTTCATTAAAAATTTTTAATACATAGATATTTAACGGAATATTTCAAATGATTTGAGGAGTAAATTATAAATTAGTCATTCTCATTTCAAGAAATAAATTAATTAGTTCCTTTCGTTTAAAAATTAATATTTAGTCATTTATATTTTAATTTCATCAATAACTTAATCATTTCATCGAGTTTTCTATTATATTAGTTTTTTTTTTCAAATTGTCTTTCTTTTAATGCTTTAATTCTCTTTTTCCCACATTTTCTTTCTCTCTTCTTGAAAATAATAATAATAATAAACAAATAAATAAAAATATCAATTTGAGAACAAAATACTAATCTAGCAAAAATGAGATGAAAAAAATTAAGTTATTAATAAAATTAAAATGTAAATGACTAAATAATTAGTTTTTGAAAGAAAGAGTGTTAACAACTAATTTTTACCCCACGTAATTTTATTAATTTCGTGAGAAATACAAAAAAAAAAAAAAAAACGATAAAAGAGAATTAAAAAATAAATGAATAAAAATAATTTAAGGGTCTAATTAAAAAGATTTGAGAAATTAAGATAAAAAATCCAATTGAAGGGCATAATTGAAAGGGTTTAAAACCCGAAAGCCTTGATTCAAGATAAGAAGGGATCGAATTAAAAGAAATTAGAAAGAAAAGGTCTTGAATAGTCTCAATTAGGGCGTAATTGAAGAAGAATAAAGAGATTTAGAGTGAAGTTAAAGAAGATGGACGAATTAGGGACTAAAAATGAATGTTGCCCTAAACATTAATTAGTCCCTCTATAAATATCCCTTCTCCCTAAAAAAAATTATACCAACTACTATTCATCTCTTCTAGTAGAAAGAAAAAAATGTAGCAACCATTTTTTTCTTCTCCAACCGAACCACACCACGCATCGTAAGCTACCAACTCCTTCTCCAACCATTATCCATGCCGTAGCCCACTATCTCCATCATCTTCTCGAACCAAACCAACCACCACCAAAACCAAGCCTTCTTCAACATCTTGTAACCCGCACCCAACCACTATATCCAAATCGGCCTCATTTTTTTGCCAAAACCCACTACAACCATCACCTACCATCTTTATCTTCAACCTTCGAGCAAGCTATGCCCGACCACCACGTTCAAACCAGACCTTATCCGTACTCGTCGCCCAATACTACATAGAATCATCTTTATCGTCCTCGTCCATAGCCCACCACCAGACTTCATCTTTTCCCAATAACACCAATCATCGCTATTAGCCATCACCCATTGCTACCTCTATTATGTTCTCTAAAGAACTCTAGTCACCCTTACTTCAAACTCCACAACCATTGTAACCCATACCTAAAACCAAACCTCATAGCCTCGATCCTCATCGTGACTCACCTTAGCTCAACATAAATCTTCACCAAACGACCAACAACCACTCGTTTATAGCATCCAACAACCTTCTAAGGCCAAAATAACTATTGTCCTTGCGTTAGAAATAGCCACTCTAACGCCTCCATATGGTCACCACTTGCTTGTTTCTAAGCTTCTTCATTGTCCTCCACTTAGGAAATACCTCCACAACCATTGCTTCTTGTCTCCAACCACCTCCTTATGGCCCCTAACTACGAGTTTCTAAGCTTCCTTGTCATCCTCCACCAAGGCGGTAGCCCTATAGCTACTTCTTCTTGTTTCTAGTAGCTCCCACTACCATTTTAGCTAATTTCAACCATCTTTTAAGCCACCACAATAGCTATTCCTACCACCACAATAGCCACCAATGTGGTAGTCCACTCTAGTAGCTTTTTCCTTAATAATAGGCAACTACTTTCTCTTCTCGATTAACTAAAGAATTAGTTTTTATCGGGGTTAAAAAAAGTAAAACTAACTCCAAATAAGACTTTAGACAAATTCAATACTTTTTGACAATTATTTTAGGTAACTTCTAAAAATATTTGTATTCATTTAATTTTCAAAAAATAATAATGATAATAATATGAATAACATATTTATCATGAATGAAATATATAAATGCATGTTTGATTGTATTGTTTATATTTGAATTGTTGATTAGATATACTATTGTGTATTGAATCTAAAAGGTCAAAGACCCTAGGTATTTTGAGGATTAATAAGGTCGATTGATCAATGCTTTGCGATAGAGTTGGAAAAATGACTAAATAATTTAATTTCAATGATTTATCCAAAGTGAGTGGTAATTTTATAATTCACAATTAAAAATGATTTTATGTTAGCTTTTTTGTGATTGTGATATCTTGATTACATGATGTTCATGTCTAAGGCATGATTTAAATGGCTTGATGTTGGTTGAATCGAAGTCATTGGCGACTTTTCACTCATGTGGACGAAGCCTCTAGTGGCTTCCAAACATTTTTAAATCACTTGTTATTTGTTGAATCAAAGATTTCAGTGGCTTTTCACTCATGTTGATGAAGCCGTCGGTGGCTTTCAAATATTTTTAAATGACTTGTTGTTTGCTGAATTGAAACAAGTAGTGGCTTTCCAACTTTTTAAAATAACTTGTTGTTCACTAAACCAAAGCCGTCGGTAACTTTTCACTCATAGGGATAAAGTCAGTCGATGGTTTCAAAATATTTGAATAATTTCAAATATGGATCGTAGTCATAAGAAACTCGTCATTTTTTTTATGTGAATGATTTCTTATATGGAATGTAGTCATAAAGAACTCATCTTTTTTATTTTATGTGAATGATTTCGATATCGATTGCAATAACAAAGGACTCGTCGTTTTTATTTTGTATGAATTATTTCGATATGGGTTGAGTCACAAAGGACTTTACTTTTATTTTATGTGAATGATTTATGATATGAGTCGTAGTCATAAAGAACTCGTTATTTTTTATTTTATTTAAATGATTTATGATATAGGCTACAATCATAAGAGATTTGTTATTTTTATTTTAAGTGAACATTTCTAATATCGCCTACGATTACAAGAGACTCATTAATTTTTTATTTTATTTGAATGATATGAGCTACGATCACTAGAGAATCACCATTTTTTTATTTTATTTGAATAATTTATGATATAGGTCGTAGTTATAAAGGACTCATCATTTTTTGATTTATTTGAATGATTTATAATATGGGCTATAGTTGCAAGGTACTTATCATTTTTATTTTATGCGAATAATTTTTAATATGGGTTGTAGTCTCGAAAGACTCATCATTTTTTATTTTATTTGAATGATATAGATCGTAGTCTCAAGGGACTCATCGTTTTTATTTTATTTGAATGGATTATGATATGGGATGCGATCGCAAGAGACTCATTATTTTTTATTTTATTTGAATGACATAGGCTACAATCACAAAAGGGACTCTCTATTTTTATTTTGTTTTGAATGATATGCCTGCAAGTCGCAAGAGATTCATTATTTTTATTTTATTTGAATGCTTTTGGATATGGGCTGCAATCACAAGGGATTCACCTTTTTTGTTTTATTTGAAGAATTTCTTATATGGTCTACAGTTGCAAATGATTTGTCATTTTAATTTTATTTGAATGATTTTTTTTTTATGGACAACAACTATGAGGGACTCACCATTTTTATTTTATTTAAATGATTTTTATAAGGGTTGTAGTCATAAAGGGCTTATCATTTTTTTTATTTGAATGATTTTCTATTTTGTGTTATCGGTGGCTTTCTGTTTGTGTGAACGAAGTCATTAATGATCCATTATTGATCTAATAGTGTGAATTGAAGTTGTCGATAGCCTCCTAATTATATCAATATGAGATTCTAATCCTTATAGACTTACTTATTTGTTAATACATGTTTGTAGTCACTAAGAGTTAGCTAAAATTTCAACTTCTATCACCATTTTTCGTTTAGAGTATGGGTATAGGTGTAACACTCCTAACCTAGGACCTAAAAAGTTGAGAATATTATCATGGTTAACTTACATTCGAGGTGCAATGAATGCAAGATAACAAGACAATATGGCTTAATCTTAATGTTTAACGTGTAATTTATGCTAAAAAAACCTAACATTAGCAAGGCAAGTCCTATACCTTAGCTAAAAAGGCGTTATAAATTTTTTACGTTTTATTCTTTTATTTACATTCTTTGGATTGGAATAACTGGATTCATGACAATCGATTTTCCTAATTTCTCTATTCATTAATTTATGTAAATTTATTTAGTTATAGTCCATTTCTATTATAATTATTATATTCTTATTCTTTTCCTTATTTATCGTCCTTTTTTATTTGGCGTGCGTCTAGTCATATTGCTTTAATGTCATAAGGATACTAGCATGCAATGGATAATTTAAAGTAACTACACTACCATTTTACTATCGGTGCTTTGGTTATATACAAACTACTACGGACCAGTTATATGCCAACTATTACAAAATAGGCTTATTGACTAACTACATCATTTTAGAGATACTTCATTTACTTGTTCATTGCTTTTACTATAACATAAAATAGACCAGCTAACCCTAGTACATAAAATACAATAGCTAATAATGGGAACAAAATACTATGCAACAAATTCACTTGGAAGCTGAACCCCCACCTAAGGTATATATCTTTGGTGCACCCGTTAGAAATTAGCTCAGCGAGAGAAATAAGCTATCGTACCTTAATTATCTATATCACAAGGAACTAAGTGAGCGATAGCTCTGTAAGTTAACTTATGCATGTCATGTATAAGTGTGTATATGCATATGCAAAATGCTAGTATATGCACATTAAATCCTTTTTTCACATCATAATACATTTTAATGATTGGTCTAAAAATTCTTTTTTGTCTTTAAATATGTCCCATTTAGGTACTTTAGAGTTTCCATAATATATGTCCGACGAACCGCATTTGTCTACGGACACACCCTATCGAGCCTCTAAAAGTGCACGTCTACTCTTGCTTGACCCTAAACCATTACCATTATTGTATGAAAAAACCATGAAGCCTTTCCTTATAAAAATCCTCAAGGTCATGAAAATCACCTTATTTAAAACATTTTCAATTTCTATTGGAAAATATGAGGTAAAAACATGTTTTTCATGACTTTAAATGATTTTTCCTAAATTAGGCGAGCATAAGCATTTTATTGGTAATGCAAAAATAATGTTCACTCATGAGATGCATGCCATGAATAATCATGCAATCATGTCATGATAATATATAAAATCAATAATATCATTGTATTAATAATATTACCTTGCATAAATAATACCAACCATCATAATCCATACCAATAGCAACATACCATTTCAAACAACATAACATCATCATCATCCATATTTTACCAAATACAACATCCAAGATTCAAATATATTAACCACCATCCAAAAACAATATTAGACATAAAGGTTATACAAAATGAACCAAAATACCTAACTTCCTAATTAAGGTCTGAATTAGGTTATAATTTAACCTAATCATTTTCTTCAATTTCTTTCATCAATTCACTCCAACTTTTTTCTCTAATTTAATCCTAATGTCATGAATTAGCATAGCTAAGTATCACTTAATTAGTTACCAGTATTAATTCTCATTTGGGCCTTAATGAGCCCAAACTCTAACTTCACTATTATAAGTCAATTTCTAGTTTCTACTAAAATTTTTCATTCTTATTGATTTTATTATGCTATCCTAAGTGAAATTAACCAATTTAAGGTGTAAAGGCAAGTTAAAATTAAACCCTAAGTGTGACCATTCTAGGTCAAAACTTAAACTAGTTCAAACCCAATTAATTCCTTCTTATCTACTTCTAAATTTTTAACACTAAGTAGTTTAGATTTACATTATCAATAGGAATTACTTTAATTAACATTTAAGGTAGAATTTCATATTTAAACCTCGAATTGGGCCTAAGTCAAATTAAGTAATTTTCTTCATTTTGTTTTTAAAATTTTACCTTCCTAATCATCAAACTATACTCATTCAATTACTAATTGATTAACAAATCATGAATGAAATGAATGAAATTCAAACCCTAAAATGCCATGTTTGGGTCGAATGACAAATGTAACCCTAGGAATTTCATGAATTTTTCTTCAAATAACATGAGGCTTTTCATTTTTAAACACTAATTCATGCCTAATTAAGTCGTAATCAAGCTATAAAATATGAATTAAATGAAAGCATCAAAAAGCCCCAAATCACCACTTTAGGCCGAATGGTAACACTTGAACAACCCTAAATTTTTTTGATTTTTAAACCTCAATTTCAAGTCCAATTAACATATTTCAATCTTAATTGCATGAATTACAAGCTTAATTTTATTTCCCCTAATTTTATTTCATCACGAACCCTAACCCTACTTTTTTAAAATTAAAGCTAAAATTCATAAATTAAAGCACATAAATCACAAATTAACATCAATTGAATAACCCTTGTGATGTAGGTGGAGTTAAATTACCTAACTAAGCTCTAATTAAACTTTAAAACGTGAGATGATTGAGAAATTTTTTCCTTTCTCTTCTCTCCACCAATTCGGCCTAAACTTCCAATTTTTCACTTGATAAGTCTTGATCTCCTAACTTCTTTTCCTTGCTTGATTAGTTTATTTAAGGTGTTTGGAGGTGATTTT